GAGTTTCATCGCTAGAGTTTCCCCGCCAAAGCTTCGCATTTCACCGAGTTTTGCCACGCCACTAAATGCATGCGACCCGCTTGCTCCTTACTTGCTGTGGTACCGCTAACACTCAGGCCGCAATTAAAAAAAAATTTGTTTGCCCTCACCCGACCGACCCGCCAAAAAGGGGCAGACTCAAAAGGTTTTATTGATCTTTCCCATTTCTTTTCACAAATTGTACAATGTTCATTATATAAATCTGTAGGCAATACATTATATGTACCAAGCAAAGCAAACATTCAACATATACGCTATCTCCACACAAGCACACCCGAGCATATAGACATCAAACTGAACTTGTAAAAAGATGCCCCTAAAAAAAAGCATACCTACCTACCCAAACATTTTAGCCTGGGTCGGATGAGGGCAAACAAATATTTTTTTAATTGTGGCCTGACTGTTAGCGGTACCACAGCAAGTAAGGAGCAAGCGGGTCGCATGCATTTAGTGGCGTGGCAAAACTCGGTGAAATGCGAAGCTTTGGCGGGGAAACTCTAGCGATGAAACTCGGCAAAAAGCTGTGAAGTAGTTCTAAACCTGTCGCATGAGTGTTACTGCGGTCTAGTGGCTAAGTCAGAAGGAAGCGACAGAGTGGCGAGGGCGTGGACAGTGGTGAGGGTGGGTGCCGGATGAGAGGCCAAATATATCGATGTCCCATTAGACGTGGAAAGCCTATAGATGCTTCGATATCATCAGGATATCATCAGAAGTAGATAATAGGGAATTCCCTATTATCTACTCCTGATATCATGTCACGTGTGTAAGAACTAGGGGGCGCTGAATGCATTGATAGCACGTCACGTGTGTGAGAGCTAGGGGCGCTGGGTGCGTCGATATGATATCACCAGGGGTTAATACTGACAAATTTGTCATTATTTGGCATTATTTTGTCAAATTTGAAAAATTTGTTATTATTAGCCGATCATGTCACGTGTGTAAGAACTAGGGGGCGCTGAATGCATTGATATGATATCACCAGGTGTTAATACTGAAAAATTTGTCATTATTTGGCATTATTTTGACAAATTTGAAAAATTTGTCATTATTAACCCCTCATCTCACGAGCGTAAGAGCTAGGGGACGCTGAATGCATTAATACCCCGTCACGTGTGTGTTAACTATGAGCTGAGCTCAGTGACCCCTCCTCCCATGATACAGATCGCCACACACCTGCGCTTCTCTTCATCAGGTGGGCGAGAGGAGACGGCGCACCCCGGCATGCAGATCTACTACCACAACATCACGCTGGTAGTCGTCGTGTCGACGGGAACGAGCGTCTGGGTGATCCGCGACGTCGGCCACATCGTCGACGACTGGTGGGTGCAGATCGCCGTCTCCTGGTCGGCCGACGAGAACCTGGGATTGCAGGTGAGCAGCGTATTAGCGCTGAGAGGGTCTATGTCCCCCGGGGTACTGCCAGAACATACCCTGGTACTATCTAATATGCCGGACCGTACCACGCCTACTCCACTAACAAGTCTAGGGAGTCGCCTACGCCTACTCCCTAACCCTAACCCCAACCCTAACCCTAACCCTAATCCTAACCCTAACCATATCAAATAGTGACCAGGGTACGTTCCGGCAGTACCCTGGGGGACATAGACCCCAATTTTTGTTTTTAAATGTTTAAATTTTTAAAATTTTAAAATTTGCCAGATTGGAACCCCTCTCATACTCTCCTGCCACCCGTGATTGCCTACGGCGGTCTTGGCTGAGACACATAAAAAAAATTGCACTTCCAAATATTTTTTCTGCACTCTCACAATACTCATTCTTGACTAATACCATGCGGGTGAGTGTTGGAGTCCGGGAACTCACGTGTTCCACTACCTGACCATCCAAAACTGGAAATACGAGAAGGAACAATAGAATAGGAGTATATGTGGTATTCCGTATAGTTGGTGTGTATGCCGGATAAGTGAGAACATGCATGCTAAATCTTTCTGTTGTTGTTATTGTACGTGAACCGCTTCTCAACAAGGGCAGTGAATTTCCTCAAGGTGTAAAAACCT